ACGGGGAGAGGGAGAGGAGCAGCAGCAGCAGGACCGTGGAATATGATTGTCTCGAACCGAATATCGTCTAATGACAGGGTACAGGAAGGGAAGCCATCCTGTTCCGTGGCCCCTGCCGGACTTCGAGACTTCAAGGAATACACATAAAGCTGAACGACTTAATACCGCAATTTTATCACTCGAACTCTGTCTGAGACCTACTTCGGCGCCCAAGTTCATCTGCGGTCTCGAAATAAACTCGCGGTGTCCAGGAATCCTCCGTTTGTCCCCTGTGATTACCGAGTGAGCCTATCTTATACGATCGTTTCGAGGGATCGACAGAATTCGCCGGGCCATTGTGATTTGTGGCTAGTCATTGGGCAGCGCGATTTAATATATCCCATATTAGCAACCGAGATCAAACCGTAATCTCGAAAACCGCTTTTACTTGTGGCCAATTATTCCGGCGAATTCGCGCGATCCTCTTTCGAAAAATCGTCGCGCGTGCACATCGCGTTGCTCCGCTCGCGGATGACCTACTGTCCAACTGAACCGGTCGATCCGCCGAGCTCCGCTCATTCTCCGGTTAGGTGGACGTGCCCGGGAGGGTAGGAGGGCTTTTTATGCAATTTTACAAGAATTTGAATAGCCGTTCGTAAAAATATAATGCGGCCACGGCAAAGATGCCGCAGCTTTTTATTGGTCGCCCTGCGCTCCGGACCGGACCGCGTCTAGACGCTTGGACCACCGATCCCTCCGTTATTATTACCGTTAGTAGATAACTCGGCGCATAGTTAAATGTGGGAACCGAACTTTCTTAGGGTTACGGGGCTCTCTTTTGCGTTCTACCTTTTGCGGTTGGTATTCCGTAATTAACCGCGGACACGATTCGGCAACGTCCCGGTGCTCTGCTATTTTCGAGCGCGCGACGCGTTTCACGCTCTCGCGATCCTTTCATTTGCAAGTATAACGATAGCCGGTCGCGAATTTTAAACTGGCGAATTCCAGCGTTTCGGGACAACGCGAAACTTACCGGGACCGCGTCGCTCTGAATAATAGGCTGTTCCACGTACCTAGTGGCTTTCTGTTCCTCCAAATACTTGGCGCGCTCCGCATCGTCCATGTCCAGAAGTTTGTTCTCGAACACGCCGCTGAAAGGGATTAAGATCGCGCCGGGATCGTTTTTGTCGACCCACTCCTTTATCTTGATTAACCTGGCCGCATCGAAATAATTACGATTAGATTCGGAATTACGAAAAAGATGTTTGGTGCAAGTACGTACCATTTATTCTTCTTGCGGATGTAATCCTTCTCGGAGAGATTGACTAAATAAATAACCGGTTTCGACGTGAGGAATAAATATTTGTTGAGCACTTCGATCTGCAAAAGAGGAGTAAGCTTTCAATCGATTCTAGGTATCTCGAATGTAGGCGATTCGTGCAGTTAACGTACGTCGGTGGCACTCCAATCGGCAAACCTGATGTGCTTCTTCTCGTCCACCATAACGCTTTTCACTTTCAGCAGCGTGTCCTGCGGGGATGGATATTTTTAAGGTTCACCTCGAAACCCGTATACCTTTGTTATCCCGCTTAGTGCAAACCGGGATGACATTACGTGCTCTGTCGAACACTTTTGCCATGGAAATTCGCTTTAATCTCGATCGACGTTCCGTTTAGTATTTAACCGGCCGCGCGCGCGGGCGCGGGCGGCCGAGTGGAATGATTCCGTGATCGAGCCGTGATTAGAGGATCGTGGATTCGCGAATCGGCGATCCATTAGTTAGGCCGAAAAGGCGAAGAGTCGGCTCGGAGTTCTCGAAAAGTTTTAGCAAATTGCGAAGTCTGGAACGAGGGAGGATCGGAAATTGCCGTAGGTCGATCCACGGAAAGAGGGTAATTCGATTGATTCGTTCTAGGAAGCAGCGTGTACCTCTCTTAATTCCCTAGGCGCTTTCGCTCGGGCTTCTCCCGGCGTACTTGCGTTCACGTGCGACTATAGCTTCTTTCGCGCTCCGATGTTTCCGTTGTACTTTCTCGCAATCGACGGCACCGATAATTGAGCCTCGATTACACGTACGCGTATTTGTACTGCGAATTGCGATAGAGGGTAGATTGGAGACACGTGTATGCGCGCGCACGGCAGATTATCATCGCGCTCTCGTATCGCGATGTTGCGCTCGGACGTAAACACGCGTTTCAACCGATGGAACGAAGCGAAGAGGGACCGTGGAAATACTGTATCAAACGTCCAGCGAAAGCGAAGAGAGTTACTCACGTATTCGGGCTTCAATTTCTTGTCGTTTCCTCGGACCACCAGTTTCTCCAGCTTCTCGAGGTGGCCGTTCAAGAACTCGATATCCTTCAATCGCAGTTCTTCGCTGATGATCTCGAGATCGCGGACGGGATTCACGTCTCCTTCCACGTGAGTGACATCGTCGTCGTCGAACGCTCCTGCGCGGAAAAGTTAGTGGTTTGCACGGTCGTCGAGGGAACAGGTGAACGTACACGCGTATTTCCGAGCGATACTTACGACACAGATGAAATATTCCATCGCAAGCGTTGATGTGAGAGAGGAAACTGTTTCCCAAACCCTGTCCCTCGGCGGCACCCTTGACGAGGCCAGCGATGTCCACCACGTTTAAGAAGGCCGGGACTTTGCTGGAAGCACGCGTGACAATTGTTTCGATGGAAAGAAGATGGCGGCCGGGGATTGGGACTCGATTCGCAGCATTGTACACGCGTCCGTGGATCGGAAGGAGGGTGTCGCGGTGACAACGAGCTGTATTTAAATGCTAATGCGAGTAGCCTCATTAAACAATTAGCCTTTGAAGAGAGGCGTCGGTGAAATGAACGAGAAGGGGAATTCCGCGTTAGAGCGGCTTTCATTAGGGCTCGTTGAATCATCCGACACGTGCCGGTAGTTGGACCGTGCGATGTCGCTGGCAAGAGCGTCCCAGCGAAGAGACGCTCTTTGATCTACGCTCGTTTCGCATTTTAATCTCTTTGAATTCGCGACTATATCGGCGACACGGAGCGCGCGGGAGCACGTGTCACAAAGCAAACGCAAACTTCTGCCGTTCGTTCGTTCGTTCGATACTTATTCGATCTCTTCTTTCTTCGCGACTCACGATTTCCCTCTTCTTTTATCAGTCGCCGTTCGTTGACGCGTTGCGGCGATTCGCGTTTCAATTTGCAACCCTCTCCGTGACTGTGCCGCTTTGTACATTCAATTTCATCCTGTCAACCAGCCAGCGTGATGACGCGCGGCACGGTAAACAGGGCTTTCGCCGATGGTGGTTACCCGCGCCGATGTACACCGCAGCACGTACAGAGGTTTCCACGTGTTTCGACGAAACGACCATTATCGCAGCTGACCCCAGCTTCGAACACGCGTGCCGGATTTTAATTAACTGCTGCGAATAAATGTTCCTCTCTTTCACTGTTCTCCCTTGAAAAACATCGAATCGCGAGGATAAAAATTCGGACGGAACTCGTTCTGCGCTGCGAAGCAAACGCGGAGAACGACAATGTAAAGTCTGCCGACGTTCAACATGGACTCCGTGTCGCGTAGACGAATTTAGCCGAATCTGCATTGCAGATCACGTACCGTTTCCTCCCGGCCCTGTCCCTTGCTCCGCGGAAATAAAACCGAAGAAGTATGGAAATGTCAATAGTTATTCCAACCGGTTTCCCATCGCGGGGGTGCATCGACGAGTAGACGCGCCGACGTTTTCATTCGATAACACGGTAGCAATCTAACGACAAAGTATTCGTCCCGGCGATCAAACAACGTTAACTCACCTGGCTGGTTTGAAGTACTCGCACAGGTAATCGAACCTTGTGTCGGGTACAGGTACGCGACGTGCTGGAACACAAGTGACATCGTGTTAGACTAACCCAAAGCAATATTCTTCCTTTCAAAAGTATGTTTATTACATTAAGAACAAAACACCGGTGCAATTGCTGTACAATGAATCACACGGACAAGTGCGGCACGACGAAAACTTCGATTTCAATCGTCGGATTCGTCGCTGGGCTCAACCAGAGTCTGCGTCGGCGATGTACGACGGAAAGTAATGGCGTTCGGCGTTCGTGGAAATAAATGCGCCAACATGGACACCTGCTTGCTTATGCTATACCGAGACCGCATGCTCTTAACGCGAATACTTTTCTCCGGATACACGGGTACCGTGACAAAAGGGTTCAGCTTCTTTTTCATGGTGCGTGTCGCCGTCTTAATCATCTTATACCGAGCGCACATTCTCCTGCAAACTGTCTCGTAAATGCCTGACTCCTTCAGCGCGCACGAGACGTTGCGAGTCTTCAGGTACACGCCGATGTACACCGCAGCGGACGCGGAAGGCGATAAACCTGGCAGCTTCGGTCGAATCGCGCTGACCTGGTTCACAGCTTCGACCAGCGCTTTCGCGACAGTTTGCTCTAAGAAACCGAGATTCGGTAAATCTTTAACGCTGACCGGCGCCAGGCTGCGTGAAAATTTAATGTCCACGCTCGCGTATTTATCAGGGTGCGCTAGGAATTTGTCGCGACAGTCCTCCGTGCAGAACAAATACGCTCGATCCCTGTAGAGAACACCTGTGTCCGGTCTGCCAGGTACAAGTTTGCGGTTCGGCATGTTATCAGCGTAACTGACTAAGCAGTGACCGTCCACTCGTAAACGACTCGCCCAATAGAAGTGTTCCACGTCGATCGTCTCCGTCAGAACCCGAGGACGATGCTCCGGTAGGCAGACCGTGTTCACGGGCGGAAGATACGTTTGCGGATCCAGAAGGAAATCGTTAAGGTGTCGCGAGCAGATCCAATAGAAGTGTCCCCGAAACTGGAACGTTCCCTCTTGATCCGGCTCGACTCCCGAACTTCTCATAGCTCCGTCGCGAAGCAGACAGCCGGGGCAGTACGACTCGAACTTGCTCTGTCGGCTCTTGAACTCGTACGGCGAGACGTTCATAAACTTCAAACTGTGACATTTATCGTAATCGCTTTCCCGAAAGTACGATCTGATGCGCGCGTATCTAAGACACACTTCCCGATCCGCGCGCGTCCACGCGTGCCAGGTGCTTCTCGTAGCGTCGATTTCGATTACGTTTTGAGTGTACTTCCTCAACCACTCGCGGAAGCTTCCTTGATCAGCCTCCCAACTCGCGTAACGATGTTCCAGGAATTCGCCGGAGAAACTCGGAGGTTTCCTCGCGCGGTCGGCTTCCCGCGACAAACAGCTCGAGCAGAACGCAAGATCCGCGTTCAAATTCAGTATTACGGCAGGTTGGACACCTAATAGCGTTAGCTTTTCGAATTCCTTGCGGTCCGAGGGGAAACCGTCGAACACGAAACCCTGGGCAATCGAACGGGGATCGATCGAGTACATCTCGACGGCGCGGAGCACGGATTCCTCGGGGACCGCGCGACCCTCCCGCAGATGGGATTCGGCGAGCTGCGCTGATTTCGACCACGGAAAATATTTCAGGAGGTGTCGCAGAGCTGCGCCTCGAGTTACCACCTTCAAGCCGTACTTTTGCGCGAACCGACGCGCGAGGCTAGTTTTTCCACACTTCGGTGGTCCGATAATGGAAAGTCGGAACGGGTTAACGGGCGCGCAGGAATCCTGTTCCAGATACTTGAACGGGTTCTTTAAAAACGCGGAACGAGCGTCCTCCCCGCCCAAGAAATAAACAAACTGCCGATGTATCACCGGAGAGATTTCTTGTCGAGCTTCCAGCGGCAGGAACATCTGCAGGGGAATCTGATTTCGGTACAATTGCACGGGACACCATCGCCCGAAGGAGCTCAGAAGATAATAGCCACAGTCGAGAAGCGTCTCCGCTGTTTCCAGGTCAATCGCGTACGGTCGTTCCAGAATGGAAATGTCCCGACTGGTGTACGGAGTGAGAACGACCATCGCTCGCAGGAGAACGTCCTCGAAGCTTTCTTCGGCGTTTAATCGCACGTACGGTATAGATTCGTGTTCCAGCGCTTTTCGCGTCGCGTCTATCATCCGCGTCTCGTTCGCGTACGTTTCCTCGAATTCGCTCTGGATTCGAGACTCCGCCGCCTCGTAGTCTTCCCAGTCGGTGAACAGCACGGGTTCAGGATTCTCCCTGCGCCAAACCTCGACGAGTTCCTGCCTTTTGCGCGATATTATCTCCGAATCGATGTTGTACTTGATATAGCTGTCGTCGTCGTCGTCGGTGTCGTCGTCGTGGTCGATATTGCTAACCACGTTCGTCAGCCTACTCGCATCTCCGTAATCGTCGAACGAATGCCAAGACGACGCTTCGCCTCCTTGCGTACTCAGGTGATAAATCGCCTCGTTCAGCTTCGTCTTAACCCACAGGCTCTCGGTTTTCCTATATCGTTCCATCTTCTCCAGGTAACGCGACTGCTCGATACGTTTCTTCCCGGCCAGCGTTTCGCGCCACGATTTCATAAGTTCTGGAAATATTCGACGGCGCGCCGTCTCCTTGTCGCATCGAAGTTCTATTATTATTTCGGGCACTGCATAATGCTTAAGCGCTGCGTTTACGTCCTCCGGGCAGCTCGGGAATTGCTCCATCGCGACGCCGTACAGATTGTACAATCCCTCGAAAGGTTTTAATAAGCACTCCCGGAGCATTTTCTTGGGAAGAACGCCACCCGTTTGCCAATAACGGCGAATAAAAGTTTCCACCGTCGCGGTATCGCTGTTGTATCTCTCGTCGTCTAAATCTGCCGGCAAATCTACTTCCCCGGGAACATTATGAGACGATATTAAACTACTTTTATGTAGAAACGACGGCATTCCGCGGTCCCGCATGTATATTTCGAAACTCTTGAAATAATCGACGCGCGCGATACCGTACTCTCGCGATATCGCGTTCGCCAAGGCAGTTTTTCCGCTGCCTAGTGGGCCAATGATAGCGACGCGAACGGGTGGAATCGCGGATAATGGTTTATGAAACGGGAGAGACAGCTTCCGAGGACCACGTATGAATTCTTGAAGAGCCGCGTCGCTGGAAAGTCGATAGATCTTATCCATGAACAGCGCACTGAAGTCTTCCTTACCTTTCCAGAAGACGTTGTACTTCATTAATGCCACGGGACAATACCGATCGGTATCTCCAAGGCGAGGATTATCTTCTTTATCGTCGAACGCTGCGGTATGCCCTTCACCTCCCAATTCTTCCTCTTCGTCTACATTCTCGGTATTTTCAGACATGGCCATGTATTCCGCGAGATCTCTCTCCCTTTCCTTTTCATCGTCGCTCATGATCTTAGCTTTATCCGCGTAGCGATCTTTAATGTTCTCCACAACGAAAGTGGGGACATTTCTAATTTTACTGAGATCGCAAATTACTAGGTTCCTACAAGAGTTGACTATCGTCTCCCTAAGTTCTTCCCAATCCAGTTGAAATTGTTGAATGTGCCTCAGATACTCTATTAAACCTTCGGTCCCTTCTTCGTCTTCGTCACTTAAGAATTCCACGTTTTCTTCAAAATCTTTCCGAACATTGCGATTTCTTTGCCATTTGGACAACAGATATTCATACGGATCTTCGTCGTACAATACAATTACATCCTCGAAAACAATTTTCGAGTCTTCCGTAATGATCTTCCAACTATCGATGTCGAGATACATACCATCCACGATGTAACCTCCGTCTCTCCATATCCCAACGCTTACTTCTTCCTTTGGTATACCTAATATTTGATTTACAACGTAATCAGCTTTGTTACGTAGATTGAGATCAATGTCTGAATCGAAGAAGCTATCGGAATCGCTATTCCCCGGATCGATCACGACACCTCCAAACGTTTCTGCCAGTACTTTACATAAACTCGATTTTCCGGACCGTCTCGGACCGAGTACCGCCATCTTGCATGTAGGTCGCGGCGAGAAAGGAACCAAGAAAGCCCTTGGGTTCTCTAGAAACGAATCGATCGCTTCGGCCGACGACAGGAAGAAGATTTTGTTCATAAATCTGACCGCGAATTCCGACGAACCTTCTGTGGATCTTCCTTTAGCCAATTCTACCGGGCAAATGTAATTCCAAGTCGACAAAGTCCAGGGAAACATAGGCGAAACAGTTTCTCTGTTCGTTAAATATTGAAATGCTTCCTCGTTCGACATATCGACGAACTCGTCGATAGACGTGGGTACCGCGGGGGATTCACCGCCGAGTTTCAACTCCGCGGAGTCCAAAAATCTCTTTGGGAGAATAACTCTGGGAATCGGCAGGGTGCGTAATCGCGAGATCACTGTTTGAAACATTTGCGATACCGCGCCGCGACCGTCCACGCGGATCACGTTTTCCGGTTTGTGCAGCAAGATCCATTTATCGATAGCGGGCATCGCGAAGCGTTTGTATAATTCGCATTGACTCCGAACGTTCGATTTTCGGTCGGAAATACGCTTCAGTAAGTATTTCGTTCGGTGCTCGAAAATCGGCTGCTCGTTCGTCATTTCCTGATAGAGTTCCAACGAAACGTTCACGTCGTTCTCCGTTCTATTATTACCGAACGACATTTGAAAATCTTTGTTCATCGCTGTTAGACTCGTGTCCACTGTTCGACCCGTTCTCGTATCCATGCGAAAATGTCGGCGTTTTCTCACGAAGTCCTCATCCGGGCAGACGGCGTAAATAATTACAGACGGTTTTATAGGCCACGCTGCGAACATTTCATCTATCTGATTACAAATAAATCGTTCGTATTCGAATCTCGTGGTGCAGGTTTTATTACTGAATTCTTTACCGGCGCAAAGTGGCATTCCACGGATGCAACTCGCAGGAGCACCGCGACTTTCATTGAAATCTGGAATCGTGCTGCATACCCCGCGAAACGACGGTCCGAAGAGCTTCATAAAATTCTCGGTGAGGTCCCGATCGCCGGCCCGCTCGGACGAGTAATTCGAAGGGGAAGGATATTCGAGCATCTTGTTCGGAATCATCGGCAAACCTTCCACCACGTAACCTCTGTGAAGCACGTCCGTTTTGTTGAGCCTGTCCTCTATTAAACTGTTAATGATATCGACACCGAGGCATTCGCCGGTCTTCAAAACATCCGACAGCAGTTTACCTCTTTCGGATCCTTGCTCGGTTTCCTGTTTTACAAGGTGCAACGGGGAAACGAGAACGCACTTCCAAGAGTCAGCGATCATGGCTGCCAGTCTCGAGGTATTTAGATCAGGTTTCCCGAAAATAACGAAACAAGTTGGCACCGTTCGGAGGTACTGGCTTCTGGCTTCCGTCTCGCAGTAAGGATCGCGCGTCGTGTAAGGATGCTTCGGAGATTCGAAATGGGGCTCGACGTTTCCGTATTCCCTGCACACGCGTTTCTCCGTAAATCTGGTGAGCGGGTTCGCGTCCTCGTGGAAGGCGTAGTACGAATTAGCTTTTGGGTACACGCATCGGTGAGGTTCCGGCCACGGGAGAGCGTGGTCGTCACGGGGATGTCCTTTGATGTACCGGAAGAAACTCTTCTTCACGATGCAAGACGCGTTCGCGTGAAACTTATCTTTCCCGCGTGCGTCGGGTCTCTCGCGGGGGAAGGATTTGTCGCACATCGCCGAGCGTATCACAGAATTCGACGAATTGAACCGCAGCTGAAAGAGCTTCGTTTCGAGGTTCGCCGCAGCGCTTTGGCACGCGGTTCCAAACAAATGACGCGTCGCAACGAATTAACAGTGAATTGAGATACTTATTTTCATTGGGATCGATGGTGCAGAACGGGAAATTCTCGGCTGCGGCCTGACTTTTCGTGAGGACATTGAAGAAAGTCGATTTTCCTACATTCGGAATGCCTACGATACCAACTTTCAAGTTGGTACCCACGCGGCCGATAAGCGGTCTCCTTTCGGGCTCCTCGATTTTTTTCGGCGCCATTCTAAGGAGACAGAGAAAATACGTTTTTTAAGATGCGTCGTGGCTCCGCGACATGGAATGTACCGATAACGGTCCGACTCGCTTTCACTGGTGCACGATATTCGGCGGAGGTGTATCGATCCTCCTTTGTCTTCGGCTTACAGACTAACATGCTGCGTGCAAAATCGAACGCGACACGAATTTCGTTGCGAACATGGAAGGGGTAAAGGGAAGAGGAGAAGTGGGAGATATCAGTTTGCGTGGATAGAAATGAAAATGATCCAACATGAAATGACCACGCCCTCGGTTCCTCCAACCCTCGGAATCTCGAGGAGAGTCGAGCATGGATCGCGTATACATGCACTGCCCCCGGCTTCGGGATGGTTTGAACGGAATCAAGCCGACTCGACTCGACTCGTCTCGTCTCGTCTCGTCTCGTCTCGTCTCGTCTCGTCTCGTCTCGAGTCGGCCTCTCGAACGTCGAGTCGCTTTCGAGCGCTCGGGGTGACTAATTATATTAATGCGGACGGCACATCAAGCGATTGCTGTATTTACCGCGAGATTACCCTCTTTCTTCCTCCCCGTTCTCGAATGTACAACGGCCCGCGCCATATCAAAAGACGAAGCAGGTACGAGAACGCCTGCGGGAGGCGCAGAAGGCGACGAAAGCGCGGAAAAGGCGAACTCGTGGCAGAAAGAGAGACGGAAACAGAGGCAGAGGAGAAGAAGTAGAAGAAGTAGAAGTAGAAGAAGAAGAAGAAGAAGAAGAAGAAGAAGCAAGAGAAGAAGAAGAAGAAGAAGAAGAAGAAGAAGATGAAGTAGACGAGGCGGATTCATCGAGGAAGATGCGAGGGAGGAGAAACACGCCGGGCAAGGGGACCGACGATTACTGGGCACCAAAGCCGCGAATCACCGGCATCATGCCGGGAATCTGCAACCGCGCCTCAGGCCGCCAATCCGCCACCGACTTCGCGGTTCCTCTTCTTCCCCTGCCTTCTCTTTCGGCTCGTCCACCCTCTGCCTCCCCTTTCCTCCTTTTTCCCTTTTTCCCTTCACCCTCTCTCGGCCCGGCCGAAAACTATCGAGCCTTCAAAACGGTTCAACGTAAAACCGCGGCGCTTCTCGTTGTTCTTCATCAAGGTCCCCGTGAAATTTGCAAATTACGATAATGGAAGAGAAGCGAAGACCGATCCGCGACGCTACTCGAGGGTCGTGTTGGGTTTGGCGCCACGGCAACACCCTCGGGTCCCCCTGAACCGCTTCGCTACGCCGATCGATCGGAACAATTTTCTTCTTATTTGGTGTGGTTAATAATAATAATCCGACGAGTCTTCGAATCGAAACGGATTTATAGATTTCAAAGGAACCGCGCGTTCTTAGTACCGGATTCCATCGGTCGGAGGAGCTTCAAACGATTGCTGCACGTTGCACGGTGCTGCCTCGCAACACTCGGTCTGGAAACCATGCGAGATCCACAATAAACCTTAACCTTACTTTGCCGAGGCAAATAAGCTGCGAATAGGGCTGTTGAATGTTAACAATTAAGGATCCCACGGCTATCGATAACAGCGAGACGCGATCGAACCGTTGGCCGAGGATTCCATGCCACGTGTACTTTTCTTTTCAGCCCGAACTGCCTACTACCATTTCCCCCGTGCATGCGCCTTACCTCGTTTCTGCGAGTCAGTTCTGTCTGCGAGAACGGTTTCGACGTGCTCGTTCACCGTGAGAACCTACCGGCGATTCAATTTTAAGTAAATACCTCGCACGCCGCTGCTACTCTCACGAATTATATATCACTGCACAGCGCGTGGCACGGAAAGGAACACAGCACCGCGGTGACGTCACGCGTTCAACCGGCCTCCGGTTTAGAAACAGGCAACTGCATTATCCTCGGAGAGAGCATTTTGCGGGGCGGCGATAAAAAAGCGAGAAACAAGTTACGGTTTCAGCGGCAATCCGAACGAAGGAGCGCGAAAAATCGATAGAGGGTTCGCTGTTCCCGCTAAGCCGGTTTTTCTTTTAATTGTCCGAGCCGACAGGTCGGTGCTCGTGACTCTGTAATCTCCGTGAAATGAGCCCCTAGTTGATGCCAATGATTGTATCTTCTCTAAGCGATCGTTCGCGGACAAATCCATTGTAATTCCGGGAATGGCTTTATAAAATGAAACGCTGCCTTTAATTTCTGGTCGAAAAAGAGGTCGTCAGAGCGGGCTGATTGCAACGCTTTCGCGGAAACCGTAAACACGCACATTCTCGCCAAACAAATTCGAAACCCTTGCAGAAGAAGCGTGCCGGCGGACAGAGAGTCGGACCGTTGCGACCGGGAAAACTGTAATTTGCGACAAACGATTCGACGCGGTGCCCGCGGCGCGCAACAATGATATTTCCCGTCTAGAGGAAACTCTGTTCCCTTTCGAGATCGGTGAAATCGAACTGGCCGGTGTGCGCATGCGATGGGAACGCGCGTCGTGGATCACCGGAGGGCCATAATTCGAAGGATAATATTAAAATTGCTGTAGAATGAAATAAAAAAGAAAAAAGGAAGAAAAAATGATCGGTCGGCGGTGTGTGCGTGCGGTGCGTTCCCTGATGTTCGGACCGGTGGCGCCGTGAGATCGGAGCAGGGAAGGGTGCGCCGATTCGTTGACGACTTCGGATCTAAAAGAGAAATTTGAATCCTCCTTTTGCAACGGACTCCCCTCCGTGCGAACGAGTCTGCAACATTCTGACAATTCGGGGAACGGTTCCCGGCAACGCGTATCGCGTTAACTGCGGTTCCGTTCGGTCAATAGATTTCTAACGTGAAGTCGTCCTTGTGGCGTGTGATTATTTCAATTATTTTATTACGAACCGTATCAATCTCGGCCCATATAATGCATATAATCAGCCGGCTATTATTCCACGAGCGCACGGCCGGCGGAAAGGACGTTCCTTCTGCCTCTGCCCGTTCCTCCCCGTGGCTCCCTCGCCGGTCCATAGTTCGTAGCATCCTCCCGGCTCGGTCGTTTTCGTGATATTGTAATTTGGAGACCGCAAACCCGCTGACGTCACTGGTGCACTGGAGCATCTTGCTAGCGCGGCGCGCACGGTCAGCTCTTCCCCTCGGGTTTTTTTTATCGGCCGACAATTTCGATGGAAAGCATATTAACGAGCGACGAATTATAGGTATTTCGGCAGATTAGATATATGTTGAATTGAGGGATTACGTTACTAATTCCGGCGAAACGGCCGCGCGCCGGCGAGCCGCGGCGATCATCGCCCGGAAGATTTATTTGAGCATGGGCGCGCGCTTCGATCGCGTTCCGAGTAACGGCGTCGTTAACTTTGTATCGATTCGTAGATCGTTACGCGATCGTTTGTCAGGAGAGACGCGAACGTGAACGCGAAACGCGAAACGCGAAACGCGGGGATGGTCGTTACCTCTGAGAAGAGGCGCGCATTCGTTCGTTAAAGAAAGAGTGGAATATCGGCCTCCCACGTTCGCCGGATAACGAGCGAGAGAGAGCCGGCAGTCCTCGCGAAGAAACCAGGACCAACAAAGAAGTCGCATTAAGTCTTTGTTCAAATAATACACACCTACCGGACCCTCTCGTTTACTTAGCGGCGATTGTACACCGTAACATTTCGCCAGTCGTTCCGCGGCCGTGCTTTCGAATCCATCGAGTGGCTTTACTGCTAGAAAAAATAGAAGATGATGGATCGTAAATGGAGCACCGAATAACAGGGTTCAGGGAATAAGAGCGGAGTTTCCATCGGCGGATAATAAATGTAGAAACGATTGTTTAATGAGAAACTTGCGGGACTCGCCTTTACGAGGGAATAACATCGAAACTATCGAGTGTGGGCCAATTAGCCGGCGCAATAAAATTTTTGTTCATGTCTCTAGCTAGGATGCGCGCACTGCAATCACCGTAAAAGATGACTTAATCGGCATCGGCGCTAATTGATATCCCCACTTGCAACTCGTTTCGAATTAGAAACGCACCGCGGCGGAATGCTAATTAACATTTCATCCGATATTTCCCTTCTTGGTGCTCTTTGTTCCAATGAATTTAAAAGCGAGGGAAAGCAGCGGAGAAAATTTTACGATCGATATCGGCCTAGCCTCGGAGCGTATAAACCAGATGGAAACCGTCCGCGAATTCCATAACTTGCCATCGAGTTACGACCGTAGGTAATTCCCACCGGTTCATCGAGTCCGGATGAATATAGAATCGAGGAAAGAGCAGAAGGAACTGTTAGAACGTAACGATGTTGTAATAACTTCCCGACAAGTCCGATATACCTCCAGGGAACGGTCCATTGGCTGCATTACAGGATCATAAAACGCGATGCTGTTTCTTCGTTGCATCCGCTGCTTTGTGCTTTTACGAGGCAAATGAAGAATCATAGGATCGCCGGTCTCTCTTCTCTCGGCCGTTGGTGCGTCGTTTAGACGCATTATACCTCGCCACCGCTTCCTTTCGACTTTTGCATATCCATACGCGGACGAACCCCGAGCATGCGGAGCTCGGCTAAATTATCCCGGGAAATCTCGAGGCGGACAGGACCGTGCGCCCGCAGGATCGTTCTCGTACGGTTGGAAGTTCTCTTCGGCTGGTTTCGAAGAAAGAGGAAACGCGGCACGGTGAGTCCAGAGGAGATCCCTCGCGGATGGGTTCGCGAACGAGCCTCGAGTTCGAAAGAAAGTCTCGAAATTACATGCATCCAGGATGAACCAGATTGTAACACCGTGTCGAGATAGGCTATAGGGACGTCTCTAATAACTAATTGCGTAGGGACGTAAAGAAGCCTTGATAATTCCTGGAGCATGTAGCCGAGCAATTAAGGTGTAACGTTTCGGAGTTCTGGTCGTAAACAACGCGGGCAAAGTAGCGGAACCGCCGCGGCTCGGTTCCGCCCGTCAATTGTTACCAATTGTTGCCAATCAGAGTAATACGTGTCATTATGGCAAGAAGGTTAGCAGCAATGTGCTCCGCTCGGCCGTATATACCGATCTGATTACACCGCGCCACACACTATATTAATTTGCTGATAATTGTGCGGTACCCGTTCGCCACGTGCACCGCTTCAAATTAATATATATTTTATCATTTCGTCGGTGGCTTTTTATTAACGTCTCGCGCCTCCGGGTATCTGCTCCTATACGCGGCCGCGTCGTTTATCGCCGCGAGTTCGAACGACATTAGGCGAGCACATATAATATTAATTGCACCAATCAAAATTACGATCGATGGCCGGAGCGATTCCCAACATTTTTTAATTATATTTTCGCTTCGTTACGGCCGATATACCCCGAGCCCCGTGCACCTAGGATTCCCCGCGAGCCTAGGCGTCGATTAAAATTAATTATTGAGACACAAAGAGAGCATTCGCTTTTTAACACTCTACTAATTGTCGCTTTTCAGGCGATTTGATTGAAATTAACACACCGCGTCTAATGGTGTAATGCGGCCAAATTTATAATCCAGAAATCCGGTGTTCCAGTCCGGAGGCCTGCTCATCGCCTTTCCAACCGCATTTACGACCATTCGAATGACGTAATCGTTACGGAACGCTCTTTACGGATAATCCATCGTTTTTCTCTGCTGCAACACGGTTTGCTCGGCCCGACTACTATCCATCTCGCAATTAACGCGCTCGTACAGTTCTTATACGCTTACACGACTCGATCGTTCGCATCCGACACGTTTTCCACGCGGAAAATTCGAACTCTCTTCTGAATTCAGATCTCCCACGGATCAATTTGATTCAAGTATACGTTGCATATCTGAACCGAACCGGTGAACAGCAGCGGATGAAAAACGACTCGAAAGTCGCGACGTATCGTGCTCCTTGCAAACCCATAAAAAGAAGACGACGAACGAGTAGAAGAAGAAGAAGAAGCAGGAGGAGGAGAAGAAGAAGCATAAGAAGGAGAAGAAGAAGAAGAAGAAGAAGAAGAAGAAGAAGAAGAAGAAGAAGACGAAAACCAATGCGTTCGTGCATCGCGTGGCAGAAACTGAACCAACCAGTGGCCACGCCTCCTTAGACAGCCGCCAGCCAACAATTAAGATTTGATCGGCAAAAATGGTCGAGGCAAAATGGCGCTGGCCACTGAATACGTAATGCCCATGAACGAGGCTGGCCGACCTGCTGGCGGAACCGCCGCAACACGTGCTTCCTCGCATCCGGACTGCAGTCAGCCTCGCAGTTATGATTAGAGGGTAACTCTGCAGCTTACATCGACTCTTGTGCTCGGATACAATCTTCTACTCGAAGGAAACATTGTTGCAAAAGTTCTACAGCTAAGTTTCGCGTTCGCCAAAACGGTGACCGTTTTCACCAGCCTTATCGCGTCTCGATTCGGAAATCGTTGTACACCGATGTCGTTCGTTTCAACGATATCATTAAAGAAACTCGGAACGATCGAAGTAAACTGAAAAGGATCTAAGTACGTGTAGACTTTGATCGGCTCCGAGCGCCTTATTCGCAGGCAACCATTCGAACGTCGCTGCACGGGGGTCGCCGCAAGAAACTTTGCAGAGGGAAATACTTTCGTTCGCGGTTAGAGAATTACGAGGAGCGTCGAGTGGGAAATGTCGGAGCATTCGTCGTTGAATATTCACGAGCCAAACGACTTGATAGACATATCGAAAGAGAAATTGTAAGATCTCTAGTTAATGCGACAGGACGGCGAACGTTGGAAGTAGTTACATTGTTACGGTCGAATCGTAAATCATATCGACAGTTGACTAGATCGTCTTCATGGTTCACGCACGTTGCGTTGCGCTGGTGTGCGTCCCATAGTTCGTATAATTCGATAGCCGCGTGTGCGCACTTTCGTAGATGTATACCTGTCGATCGAGGAAATGAAATCAGACG